ATTTAGAAGCAGCATTCTAAAATGGGGAGAAACAGGAAACTCAGTGATTAATTTGTTATATCACACAGGACATCCATTTCTAACTATAGACTTTACGTTAACTATGGAGAAGAAAAATATAAACTAGTGTTTAAGTCCTCTACCATGGAAAAGCATGCAAACATCTTCATTCTTTCCTTATATTCATATATTTATTTGTCTTGCAGTCAACTATGTGGGGAATGGGACAAATCATAGTTATTCCTTATATATGGATCCTATGAAGTCAAACATAAGAGAAATCCACCCTAAGAGAGGTTTTCAAATGTGACTGCATGCTGGAATCACCCAGAGTATTTTTTTTGTGTATGTGTGTGCTTTTCTGAGACAGTCTCGCTCTGTCGCCCAGGCTGGAGTGCAGTGGTGTGATCTCAGCCCTCTGCAACCTCCACCTCCTGGGTTCAAGAGATTCTCCTGCCTCAGCCTCCCGAGTAGGTGGGATTACAGGCATGCATCACCACGCCTTGTTAATTTTTTGTATTTTTAGTAGAGACAGGGTTTCATCGTGTTGACCAGGCTGGTTTTGAACTCCTGACCTCAAGTGATCTGCACACCTCAGCCTCCCAAAGTGCTAAGATTACAGCCTTTGCACCTGGCCCTGTTTTTCTTTCTTTCTTTTTTTTTTTTTGAGATAGGCTCTGTAGCCCAGGCTGGAGTGCAGTGACATAATCACACCTTAGGGCAGCCTTGATCTCCTAGGCTAAGTGATCCTCTCACCTTACCCTCCCCAGTATCTGGGACTATATGAGTCTGCCATCATGCCCAGCTAATGAAAAAAAAAAAAAAGAACTTTTTTTTAATAGAGATGAGGTCTCACTATCTTGCTCAGGCTGGTCTCTAGCTCCTGGGGAGTTTGTAAATGACTACTGATGTCTGGGTCTCACCCTGAGAGACTGTGAGTTAACTGGTCTGGATCGCTACCCTAGCTGCCAAGGATCCTTGCACCCTGTGGCAAGTTTCTAAATCGCTCTCTAGTCTAGACTTTCTGAGCTGTAAGTAACTTGTTTTCTCTTTCTATTCCTGTTATTTGTCCTTATTTCCTAACACATATTTTCTTCTTTTCTTTTTGTTCTATTAATTTTGATTCTAGGCTAATTCTATTTTGGTAAGAGAGACCATAATCATGTCTAATCTACATAAACAATGTTGAAAATCTAAAGTTTAACGCTGCCAAGTAACAGGATGATATCCTAATTGTTTCTCATTATATGTTTTTGTACTTGATTTCTTCAATTGTCCAGGTTTTGAAATAGGAGAAATGGGTTAAAATTCTCCCTCATTCTTTTTTCCAGTCCAAATGACTTGCAGGGGTGAATGTGATGAAGTTTTAGATGGAAAGTGGACATTTAGCTTTTGAAAATGATCCTTCACAACAACTGAACTAAATGTACACAGTATTGTGGTTCACCAAACCATATATAGGACAATGCTTACTCTTCTGCAAAGGGTTCATTCTAGAGTCCTAGTTTTGGTGGCCCTACTCTTTGATGGGAGGTCAGATATTGTTGGGAGGCTGGTAAAATGCACAAATTCGAAGGGCTTGAAGGGAAACTCACGACTAGGAAGATTCAGAAGTAGATATGACCAAGCAGGTGGGATATATCTTGGTTATTACTCAGAAACAAAATGATGCCAAGATGTTATCCCCAAAAAGACTGTTTTACTTCTATACGAAAAGGACCCTATTTCTCACCAAAAGAAAAAAACAAGCTAAAAAGAGAGAGAGAGAGAGAGAGAGAAATAACCCCTGGATTAAGAGACTTAAAAGGCATACCAATCTCAATGTATAGACTTTTTCTGGCTCCTAACTAAACTAAAACCAAACAAGGCAACAGACTATTTGGGATATGTGAACACTTACTGAATACCGGATGATAGTTTGAAATTAGTGTTAATTTTGTTCAGGTGTAATAACAGTAATATGGTTTTTTTGTTGTTGTTGCTTGTTTTTTAAGGTAAACTCCAGCCGGGCGCAGTGGCTCATGCCTGTAATCCCAGCACTTTGGGAGGCTGAGGCAGGCAGATCATGAGGTCGGGTGTTTGAGACCAGCCTGGCCAACATAGTGAAACCCCCTCTCTACTAAAAATACAAATATTAGCTGGGCATGGTGGTGGGCACCTGTAATCCCAGCTACTCGTGAGGCTGAATCAGGAGAATCACTTGAATCCAGGAGGCAGAGGTTGCAGTGAGCTAAGACCGCACCACTGCACTCCAGCCCAGGTGACAGTGGGAGACTCCGTCTCAACAACAACAACAAAGGTAAACTCCAGTTTTTTTTTTTTTTGAGATGCCCAGGCTAGAGTGCAATAGCACAATGTCGGCTTACTGCAACCTCTGCCTCCCAGGTTCAAGAGATTCTCCTGCTTCAGCCTCCCGAGTAGCTGGGATTACAGGCAAGCACCACCATGCCAGGCTAATTTTGTATTTTTAGTAGAGACGGGGTTTCTCCACATTGGTCAGGCTGGTCTCGAACTCCCAAACTCAGGTGATCCACCTGCCTTGGCCTCCCAAAGTGCTGGGATTATAGGTGTGAGCCACTGCGCCCGGCCTTTTTTTGTGTGTGTTTTTGTGCGTGTGAGACGGAGTCTCGCTCTGTTGCCCAGGCTGGAGTGCAGTGGTGTGATCTCAGCCCTCTGCAACCTCCACCTCCTGGGTTCAAGCGATTCTCCTGCCTCAGTCTCCCAAGTAGCTGGGATTATAGGCATGCATCACCACGCCCTGGTAATTTTTTGTATTTTTAGTAGAGACAGGGTTTCATCATGTTGACCAGGCTGGTTTTGAACTCCTGACCTTAGGTGGTCTGCCTGCCTCAGCCTCTCAAAGAGTTGGGACTACAGGTGTAAGCCACCATGCCTGGCCCACCTTTTAGAGATATCAACTATTTATAAGTGATGTCTGAGATTTGGCTCACAATAATCAGACTTGAGAGGGAAAGGAGGGGTGACACTGATGAAACGAGATGATCCATGAGTTGCTGGCATTTGGCCCCAGGGGCATCACGGACTCTATCACAGGGAGTACCCCAGTCCATGGGGCACTAGGCATAAGGATCGTCCACGGACTGTTTTTGTGTGTTGTATCTCCATAAGAAAAAATGTGTCAAGATATAAAACACATCCCTAAGTGGTAAGCCCACTTGGGATCGTGTCACAGTGCTAGGCAACTAGAAGGGGTGCTTCCGTCTAACAATTCACAAGACATTAATATTCAACCAGCTGTAAAGGCTAATGGTCAAGTTCTGCCTTCAGGCACTGAGGCTTCAATGCGGCATCAATAGACATTTCCCACGAGTGTCTGAATAGAGAATCTGGACCTGTTTATTTAAGTTCTGGCCTTTAAAAAAGCCAAGCATTTATATGATTAAGGGAAAAGTTCAGCTCTCACCCTGTCCTTTAAGGTTCACATTATGGGGGAAAGGAAAGAGAAGCTAAAGTCTGTCCATTAAGCACAATTCAGAGATTCTGCTTGGGTTTTCTCCATTGATTGAGAGTTCTTCCTTTAGTAGGTCAAGTCAGACCTTCCATGCTAATGTAAGAAATGTGTTCTTTTCTTGTTAGTTTTAAGTTTATCAGAATCTAAAAAGCCGTGGTTAAAGGCCTGTTTTTTAGAGTCTATCATTTATAAATGCTGTTTTCTTTTAAAAAAAAATTAATTTTTTTTCTTTTTCACAGCCACTGGCTATAGAAAAATGCTGTTCATTTTCAAGTGAATAAACTCCTAAGATGTTCTAAAACCTGAAATGACAGATAAACCAATTACAAAATTATGAAAAAAATATTTTCTATCTTAAGTATTTGCTGATTTAAAAAACTAGTTTTGGACAATGGCTTCGGGAATCGAAAAGCATAGTAAAATTTCAGACAATAAAAATTTTGGATTTCCTTAAGCTCACCATCAGTAGAACCACCACAAAAAACCCCAAAAACAATTAGTAGAAATAAGCCTAAATAGAAAAGTTCCAAATAAGCCCCAAAGTAATGGCAAGCAGCACAAATGACAATATCCATATGCTTAAAATAGCAGCTGGAGTAGGGGGTTAACAAAACTTCAGTTTCTAGGAGCGCACTCCACAGTAGGTCCATTTGCCCAGCAACAAAACAACAAAACAAAACAAAATACCACCTGGGGAAAAATAATTTTGAAGGCCACTGCAGCTGGAGAGAGCAATAAGTGATTATTTCTGTAACTGGAGTGATGAAAGTCATGTTACAAGTTCAGCTTCAAAACGCAGCTCCGGGGATGGCTGGGAGTGCGTCAGGAATCAGAAGGTCAACACGGCAGCCGGTGAGTGATGCAATCGACTTCATGGGCTTCGGACAAGCCTTCAGGCTCACAAAATCCGCAGTCACAGACACCCGTAGTTAAGAAAAATATTAAAATTCACCTGAATTAATTCTTTCCTTTCTTCGTTCATTCAACCGCATTTAATAAATATGATAAACATAATCAGACATGTATTTAAAAAGTGTCCATATAGCTAGCTTATAGTCCTCTCAAAGAGACAGCCAATAAAATAGCTTCCCTCTCAGAGATTATTTTAGAAAGGGAAAACCTTACCCTCCCATTGAAACCCCTGCTGCCAGGAAAGGAGCAGAAGGGTACAGGCTGTGTACATGGTGAATAACTGTCTCCAAGTCTTCAGTGTTAGCACAACAGTAAGTCCTTGGCGTCTGGAAGTAGTGACAAGTAAAGCACAAAAATTAGAATGTGAGGTTAATGATTTGTAAAATGCAGAAATGTAAACAGGAGCAAGAAGTCATACATATGAGAAAATAACCTTTGCACGTACTGTAGTATTAATAATTTATCATTTTCCTGTCTTGCAGTGCACATATATGCCATTTAAAGTCAGCACAGTTAGAGTTGGCACTAACAAAAAGACCATGAACATGCAAGGAAGGCTTGATGCAGATGGGGCAAGACCAATACAAATACCTTAAATTTTACTACCATACGCAAATGTGTCTCTAACTTAACCAGAGCAGTTTAGGAAAAAAACCAGGGAATTATGCTTCTATTAAACAAAGAACAACCTGTAACCCCAAAGCCAAAAATAATTGTTTTTTGTTGTTGTTGTTTTTTTTTTTGGTAAGACAGGGTCTTGCACTGTCACTCAGGCTAGATTGCAGTACCATGATCACAGCTCATTGCAGGCTTGGCCTCCCAGGCTCAAGCAATCCTCTGACCTCAAACTCCCAAGTAGCTGGAACCACAGGTACAGGCCACCACAAACAGAAAATTTTTAAAAAATGTTTTGTAGAGACAGGGGGTCTTGCTATGTTGTCCAGGCTGGTCTTGTACTCCTGGGTTCCAGCGATTCACCTGCTTTGGCCTCCCAAAGTGTTCAGATTATAGGCATGAGCCTGTGCCTGGCCCAAAGTAACTTTAAAAATATTTATTTTTGAGATGGAGTTTCGCTCTGTTGCCCAGGCTGGAGTGCAGTGGTGTGATCTTAGCTCACTGTAACCTCTGCCTCCTAGGTTCAAGTGATTCTCCTGCCTCAGTCCCCTGAGTAGTTGGGGTTACAGACACCCACCACCATGCCCAGCTAATTTTTGCATCTTTGGTAGAGATGGGATTTCACCATGTGGACCAGGCTGATCTTGAACCTCTGACCTCAAGTGATCTGCCCACCTCAGCCTTCCAAAGTGCTGGGATTACAGGTGTGAGCCACCATGCCCGGCCTATTGTTTTTGTATTTTTCGTAGAGACAGGGTTTCACCATGTTGGCCAGGCTGGTCTGGAACTCTTGACCTCAAATGATCTGCCCACCCCAGTCTCCCACAGTGCTGAGATTACAGGCGTGAGCCACTGTGCCCGGCCAAATATTTTCTTTTCTAATAGTATGTATATACAGATAGCCTCAGCTGTACTACTGCAGTAGACACTTAAAATGTTAAAATATGTAAAGTTGATCATGCTGCAATATATAATGCATTTAAACAAATGGTTTTCATGTGAACGTCATCAATAAGGGCTCTGTAGCAGAGGAGCAGAAAAGCATCATGGATACTTTACTTTAGATCTGGGAGGAGGGGGCAATCCTCTCTGTAGAATACATGTGAGTGTGTGTGTGTCAGAATTAAGTATATGTGGGGCCAGGCGCGGTGGCTCAAGCCTGTAATCCCAGCACTTTGGGAGGCTGAGACGGGCGGATCACGAGGTCAGGAGATCGAGACCATCCTGGATAACACAGTGAAACCCCGTCTCTACTAAAAAATACAAAAAACTAGCCGGCGAGGTGGCGGGTGCCTGTAGTCCCAGCTACTCTGGAGGCTGAGGCAGGAGAATGGCATAAACCCGGGAGGCGGAGCTTGCAGTGAGCTGAGATCCGGCCACTGCACTCCAGCCTGGGTGACACAGCGAGACTCCGTCTCAAAAAAAAAAAAAAAAAGAAGAAGAATTAAGTATATGTCAGAAAAAATAACCAGAAACTTAATAACAAGGAGGGGAATCTGGTAACATTACTTTAAGAAAACATGGAAACTAGTTATCTACACCACCCAATTTCATTATGTCAATAAACCATGATCATACCAGGAAGGTTTTGTATTACCCAATGTTCAATCACTAATGAGTAGCCTGAGAAAATTGTAATTTTTAACAATTGCCTCAGTTAAACTCATCCCTAAAACACAGCCTATTCCCTACTGGCATCTTTTTGATATCTGCAAATATGTGACTCTCCGAAAGAAAAACGTTAACCTGACAATATTTTCCATGGCTAACATTTATTGAAACATTAAATTTGTGTCCACAAAACCCTGAGGAAGACTCCAGTGTTTCTATTTTATAAATGAGGAAACTGAATTGAGAGGTTAAATAACTCCTGTAACATCTTAACAGCTAATAAGTGACTATGCTCAGATACTTTAAAAAAAAAAAACTTTGTGATTGAATGCACTTCAATCACAAAGGGGAGCACAAATTCAATGTAAAATCTAAATAGAAAATATTTTATACTAGGCTCATTCATAATGACTTCAGAATTTGTCATGAGAACCTGGGTGACGAAATCATCCTTACTCAGCATTTTGATTGCAGGTGAGTCTATTCACACTGCACAGCTTTAAAATTTCTGAATTATTTATGAATAGTCCCCAACATATATTGCTATTATACAGGCTTTAACTATATGTGTATATGTAAGAATGCATACATATAGACACATACAGAGTTAGGACATAAGAAAAATGCCCTAAGGAAAACTGCTAGGATCACAGAATCTTTGTGTCAAAAGGACCATAGATGTCACTTGGTTCCTTATTTGTACATAAGGAAATTAAGGCCCGGCAAGGTTGAGTAATTTGCCAAAGGTCACAAATTAGCAGAGGCTGCATTATATGTTTGTAGTAAGAACCTAATTCTTGTAAAGCACCAGGGTTCCATGAGGTATAGAGTGAATCAATCAATATCTGGTACCCTCAGATACAGGGACTGATTTTTCCCTAAATGTTTTTCTCCAAATAGATTGCATTAAGATCAATACTGATGATATTGTCAATGAAGGAGTGTGGATTTCTGGTACTGCCTTCATTCTAGATAAAGCACTATACAATCTGATATATTATTTTCTTTTATAATAGTATAGCCATATAGCCCCAGCTGTGCTACACTGCAATAGACACTTAAAATGTTAAGTGTAGTGCCGTATGCCTGTAGTCCCAGCTACTCGGGAGGCTGAGATGGGCTGATCGCTTGAGCCCAGCAGTTTGAGAGCACTCTGGGCAACACAGCAAGACCCCCGTCTCTTAAAAAAACAAACAAACAAACAAACAAACAAACAAAAAAGAATTAGCCAGGTGTGGTAGAGGATCACCTGAGACTGGGAGGTAGAGGCTGCCATGAGCTGTGATCATGACACTGCACTCCAGCCTTGGTGACAGATTGAGACTGTCTCAAAATGAATAAATAAACTATATAAAGCTCCTTATGCCTCAATACATAATGATCCAATGGTATAGACTGACAGTTTCCAGAACTCTGAAACTCAGCAAATCTGGAACCTTTCCATCATGGTCAGCCTCCTGCTAGCTCCTCCCCTGGCTTCCCCGGTGGCTCTGCTAGCTTTCCATTTCCTACCTAGTCACTGTCACTTTTCCCCCAACCCCAAATGCAGGTAGGTATTCATTCTCAAAGGTTTTATCTTAGGCTTATATCTGCTTATTTTCTGGTCAATACCCAGTTCTTGAAGCTCTCATCTACTCCCATATCTTCATCAACCACCTCTTCCCAGTGACTGAACCTAAACCTCCACTGTTACTTTCATCCTCAGCTCCAGATCCAAATTTCCAAGTTCCAGCAGGCAGCTGCCCTATAATGTTCTACCAGTACTTCAGACTCAAAATGCACAAAGATTAACTCATTTTCGTCTTCATGAAAACTCCCAACGTTTCTCCTAACTTCCCATTTCCCTATATACAGCATTTACATTTTTTTAGTTAAAATTGTGGGCGACATGGCCTTCTCCCTCTCCCTTAACCGCATAGCTGATAAACTGCCCAATCCTGTAGCTTCTTCCTTTTCAGTGAAAGGAAACTCCTCTCCACTCTAGTACAGGGCTGGTAAGTTGGCTTCTCTCAAAAGGGCCCCTGAAGCAAGGATGTGAGTGCCAGCAGTTCATTTGGAAGGCGACACCAGGAAGCACCCGCAGGAGAGTGGCAGAGTGAGTCAGGAAAGGCAGGAAGTCAGTAAGAAAAATATACCAGGCAGTTTATGGCTGTGGGCAAGTGGGACTCAAGCTCCCTGAGATAGTCTGGGAGACTGTCGAACAAGGCTTACAAGATCCCCACCAGTGGCAAGTGAGCTATTTATCCACCAATTCCCTTTCAGCCACTGGTTGAAGGCTATCCTGGAAGATGTTAACTCCCCGGTACTTCTTGTCTGCCCTAAACTTAGTTCCAGCAGCTCCAGTGGCTAGAGAAGGCCCCCAGTCACAGAGATGCAGGAAGCCCTCAAAAAGGCATACATGGGAATGGTAAGTGCCAAGGGGTAAGGATGTAGCACCAGCTGTCTTTGCTACAAGGCCTTTTTGCCTCTCACCTGGACTGCCACAAAACTTCTTAACTGGTTAACTCCCAGATTTTCCTGATAATCATTCACAATCCCACATTCAATGCACTATCAGATTAATCTTCCTAATGAACGCTTCCAGCTGTAATCATGACAGTCTTTCTGCTTAAAATTTCTCATTAGCTTTCCACTGCCTACTGAATTAAGCCTCTGCCAAGCATTCAAGACTTTCCACAATATGATGCCGAGCAACCCTTCCAGCTCTGTGTTTTATTATTTCTCCAATGTACAGACACAGACCAATGGGATACTGTTCTGTTGCCTGCTAGGCCCCTTAATATCCTTGCCACCTGTGTGACCTCCACCTGCCTGGAGTCCTTCGCTGTCAACCCTGCCTGTTGAAATTGTGCATGGAATAAATGCCACAACAAGGCTGTGCATGGTGACTCATACCTGTAATCCCAGCACTTTGGGAGGCTGAGGAGAGCAGATCATTTGAGGTCAAGAGTTCAAGACCAGTTTGGCCAACATGGTGAAACCCCCATCTACCAAAAAATACAAAAGTTAGCCAGGCATGGTGGCGCATGCCTGTAATCCTAACTACTTGGGAGGCTGAGGTGGGAGGATAGATTGAACCCGGGAAGCGGAGGCTGCAGTG